ACACTAGTAAATACTGTATCAAATGATGCCAGGTGAACACTAGTAAATACTGTGTCAAATGATGCCAGGTGAATGCTAGTAACTACTGTATTAAATGATGCCAGGTGAACACCATTAAATACTGTATCAAATGATGCCAGGTGAACACTAGTAAGTACTGTATCAAATGATGCCAGGTGAACACTAGTAAATACTGTATCAAATGATGCGAGGTGAACACTTGCAACTTTTCTTTTTTTTGCAGTTTCAATCTAGGTGAATAAAAATTTGTGCTTTCATACTTGTTACTTAAAGCTGATTTAGCATGAGAAGTTTAGAATTCTGCTGAGTTAAAGCCAGTGTTAGTGTGCTGGTTTAATTGAATCTATTTTTGATTTTGTGATATTTAAAAATGTACAGCAGTGAAGAGCAAGCCTTATTAATAGGTAAAGCTATGTGGGATGGGCAGATTAAATCCTCATGTGTTTGCAGAACATGAACTGAATTTGCTAGGTGCATGTGTTTGGTGTTACAATAGTTGCCATAGTGAGTTTTGATTGCTGTAATAATGGAAACTTCTTTTTTTTTCATACTTATGATTATCTAAGCTGGTTTTTTTATTTCACCAAGCAGTGTTTGAAATAAAGTTTAGATATATATAAAAGAGATGGACAATTTTTGTAAATTTTAGACGTAAGCATAGCTTAAAATATTTATTAGAGTGTCAGTAAAATTATTACAAACATTTTCATGTCTGCCATCTGTGTGCAGTATAGGATGAAGGTGAGTTCATAAGTGTTAATCTTGAAAGTTTTGTATTTTTTTCTGTTTTCTAAAGGAAGTCTCTGTTTATAAAGAATTATTACTGATTCTGTTATAGTGAATTATATTGTTTTAGAATACATCCTGATTTTATCAGAGTAGACGTTTTTTCTATGACTAGCAGGAAAATGCAGTGAAAAATCTATAATTAGTTGATTCATATAATGCTACCTCATAATTATATAAGTTTAGAAATCTTATTTTGAACAAACTTAATTTTTACAAGTGTGCTGGCAAGCATATTTCATTATTGTTATTTTGATATCATGTAAAACATTTATTTAGTTACTGACCTTACATTACAAACAATGCAGCAAATACTACCATTTATTTGTTTGTCTAGCTGCTGACCTTACATTATGAACTAAATACTACCATTTATTTGTTTGTCTAGCTGCTGACCTTACATTATGAACTAAATGCTACCATTTACATGTTTGTCTAGCTGCTGACCTTACATTATGAAGTAAATACTACTATTTTTTGCTTGTTTAGCTGCCGACCCCTCATTACAAACAATACACCAAGTAATACCATTTATTTGTTTCTTTAGCTGCTAATATTACATTATGAAACAAATACTACAATTTGTTTGTTTAGTTGCTGACCTTACATTATGAACAATGCAGCAAATACTACCACTTATTTAGTCGTTTAGTTGCTGACCTTACATTATGAACAATGCAGCAAATACTACCACTTATTTAGTCGTTTAGTTACTGACTTTACATTATGAACAATGCAGCAAAAACTACCACTTATTTGTTTGTTTGGTTACTGATTTTACATTATGAACAATGCAGCAAAAACTACCACTTATTTGTTTGTTTGGTTACTGATTTTACATTATGAACAATGCAGCAAATACTACCACTTATTTGTTTGTTTGGTTACTGATTTTACATTATGAACAATGCAGCAAATACTACCACTTATTTATTTAATTTAGTTACTGACTTTACATTATGAACAATGCAGCAAATACTACCACTTATTTATTTGTTTGGTTACTGACTTTACATTATGAACAATGCTGCAAATACTACCACTTATTTATTTGTTTGTTTACTGACTTTACATTATGAACAATGCAGCAAATACTACCACTTATTTATTTGTTTGTTTACTGACTTTACATTATGAACAATGCAGCAAATACTACCACTTATTTATTTGTTTGGTTACAGACTTTACATTATGAACAATGCAGCAAGTACTATCACTTATTTATTTGTTTGGTTACTGACTTTACATTATGAACAATGCAGCAAATACTACCACTTATTTATTTGTTTGGTTACTGACTTTACATTATGAACAATGCAGCAAATACTACCTCTTATTTGTTTGTTTAGCTGCTGACCTTACATTACGAACGATGCAGCAAGTACTATGGTGCAGCTGGAGGAGGCTACGACTCAGCCTCTGAGGAAGAGAGAAGACTTACCATGCTGCTTTTTACTAACATCTTTGATTCACTAGCGAAAATGGTAAGTTTTTAGCTGAATTTGTTATTTTTCATTAAGTTTAATTATAAATTGTAATGAAGCTAAGTTAACTGATTTTATATCCCAGTTTTTTATAACAAAATTTATTGTATTAGATGTATTATTTTGTTTTGTTTTTATTTAACAAAATAAATACATGTAAAGTATTTTGTTTGAAGAGAGTATATGCAAGATAGATAGTAATGACATTGAATCTTTTTTGCTTGATTGTATATAATGAATACTTCAGAAGAGGGACTGAAATGTGATTTAGTCCATGTAATTCACGTGAAACATCTAGTAGACAAATATAGTAGGTCAAAGTGTTTTATAGCTACATGTAGGAGTTATAATATAGTTATAAGTTTTGTAGGAGATCTTTGTTTACTGGAAATATCTAGTTCTGTTCTACTGTAGAATTTATGATAGTTGGTTATAAGCACATGTTAAGATTATTTGGATGTGTAAGCTCTAAAATTTTCAAAAATAAAGTGTTTTTAGTCAATAAAATACCCTTACTGTCTGTTAATGTTTTATTATGTAATGTTATGCTGGTAAAAATAAGGTAATATAATATTTTTTGAAATTATTTTATAAAAATTATTGTTAAACTAGAAAATTGCATAATATTCTCAGGATTTTGATAAAAAAGAAACATGACATTTCCCTTAGTTAACATCAATTCTCAAATATAAAAAACAACAACAAAATATTTTGTGTTAACTCAGTGAAACAGTGTATGCTTTCTTTATCTTGAGAATATTATGTCATTTTCTAATTTCTAGTTTAAGTAAGGTTCACACTACCTCAGTACAATATGCAAAAACATTGAAAGTATTTTTCATAATAACAGTGTTATATTTTGTTCTCGTGTTTTATTTGTTCAGTAATTGTGTTGAATCAAACTTTTTGTTGACTTATAAAAATGCAACATTTACAATTTTACCCCCAGGAATATGATCCAGAGCTCTTCAACAAGTCTCTACCTTGTCTGACAGCTATTGCTTGTGCATTACCTCCTGATTATTCTCTAAAAACTGGATTGGAGGATGAGTGGTCTAAACAGAGTGGTCCATCAGATGGACCATACATTCCTGAACCAGTCAACACAGCTAGGTGAGTCTTGTATTTAGATAAGTGTATAACTAATGTAGTTGTACCAACAAAGCCTTCTACTAGATGAGGCTTAAGTTCTTGAACTGAACAATACTGATTAATTTAGTATTAGATTTAAATAATTTTGTAATGTGGATTGAAAGATGAGTTTTGTATAGAGAGACGTCCATTAGATGAGGCTTACATCCTTGAAACAGTCAACACAGCTATGTAAAATTATATTTAGATAAATCTGAAACAAAGTTTGAAGGATTATTTGTGGTCTGTCAGATGGATGTGCATTAAAAAAACTCTGAAGCTTAGAGAAACCTGGAGCCTGAAGTAAAAATAAATGTTGTAAGAAAAAGTTATTCATAAGCTAAACTAGGCCATCTTTTAGTTAACTGATACAACAGAGTAAATTTTGAAGTTTAATGTAGTGTGTTATAAAACATTTCTACAAGTCATCCAGGACCTGAAGCAAAACAACAGAGTTACATAACCAAGAACATGGCCAGGTGGTTAGGATGCTCGACTCACAATCTGAGGGTCGCGGGTTCAAATCCTCATCCCACCAAACATGCTCGCCCTTTCAGCCATATGGGTGTTATAATGTGATGATCAATCCCACTATTCATTGGTAAAAGAGTAGTCCAAGAGTTGGTGGTTGGTGGTGATGACTAGCTGCCTTCCCTCTAGTCCTACACTGCTAAATTAGGGACGGCTAGCGCAGATAGCCCTCATGTAGCTTTGCGTGAAATTCAAAACATAACCAAGATAGGTCTCTAAATCTTAAGGGCAGTTTAAGATACAGTTTAAAAAATTGAGAGATTGATATAAACTTTAGCAAATTGAGTTTGTTCTTTGTTGAAGGTTAAGTATATATAATTTCAGAAGGCAAAGCATAAATTTAATTGTGAAAATATTTCAAACTTGTGCATGCAAAAAGCTTACAGAGAGACCATGACATAATTCAGATTTGTTGTATTAGTGTAAATAAAAGTATGACATGTTGCAATTCACATTAATGCTCATCAGAGGAGAAAAGCAGTTTAACTCTATGTGCACAGGGTTGGTCCATTTGACCAAGTCTGGATTGGAGGATTAATGTTTATTATAAATTCTATATTTCCAAATTTATGTAACATTTCACAAAAGTTGGTAAGCTTTTAGTAAACATCACCAGTATGTTGTACACAAAATAAAAAGTTTAATAAGGTATTGCTACGAAAGATTTGTCTCTGAATTTACTTTAGTTAGTCTGACTCACATTCTGACTAGTCTGAGTGCAAAGTGATTTTCCTGATAAAAATAGAAACACATTTTCATATTTCAGTTACTTAACCTCTCAGATCATCCTAAATGAATATCAAAATTTTATTTTCAGTAAAACTTTTTATTTTGCCTGTTATTTTATCTACCCTAATACTATACAGGCTCGGTTCATTTGGCCAACCTATTACCACCAATAAAAAAAAAGAAAAGAAATAAATCCAAGTTGTCCTCTTTTCTTCCTAGAATTACTATAGGGTGTAACAGAAAATTAGAATGATTTATTCTAAACAGATTCAGGCTTGTAACAGTTTACATGCATTGTCATTTAATTTAATTTTTTTTGCTCTTTGAACCATACCTAACTACCATGAAGAGCATTAAATCACACAGCTCAAGAGCGAATAGTTTAGGTTAGACAAAATTTCAGGTTAAATCATTCAAATTTCAACTATATATGTTCATTTGTCATGTGATCCTTGAGACAAAAAAACTGTTTATTTTTTTAATTATGTTTTTTTAATTTAACATAATAAGTTTATAATAAACTTAAATAAACATAAGAAATAAGAAATTTAGCAATTACTTCAGGATTCAGACTCGTTTGCATTCAGAAATTTTTTTCACTAAGTTGATTCTCTAAAAAAATAATATATATATATAGCTTTAAAATATGCATTTTAGTACATAAAATAGTTCAAATAGAATTCCCCAAAACTACTATAATTTATTTGGCTTTCCAATTGACCATTAAAAGGATTTCATTACTTATTGGAGTGCCAACTTTGTTTTTACTCAAATAAAATCTGCATGGGAAATAGTGCCTTTTATTGAAATGAATTTGTATAAAGATATCATAATCACGTAGCTTACAAAATGGCCTTTCTATCCAGATAAAAACATTTACCATTGACAAATAAACAAGATTAAATAAGTAATTTCAAAAGCATGAAGAGTTGGAAGGAGCTTCTGGTGGGTATAACAAGTTTATTGGTATCTCAGAAAATAAAAAAGGTGGGATGCTTTTATTTTCAATTCTGGCATGTTAATCTCTATGTTTCTAATTGGTGGATTTTCTGAAACCGTTATAAGGGAGAAAGAAAATCTAAAACACAGAATTC